GACGCCCCCCACAAGGCCATTCTATCCGGCCTGTGGGGCCCCTAAAATTTAGAAAATTAATATTAATCGGCCCTGGGCTGCCTGTCATGCGGCCCTCGATGGCTTGCCAAAACTCAGTAAGCGGCCCTCTGCCCAAAATATTGCCCACCCCTGCTGTCGGGGGAAGGACTAGAAGCAATGGTCTCAAGATGCAGCAGGGAAAATTTAGGCTGGAGATTAGGAAGACTCTCACTTTGAAGCTAATTAAGCATGGGAACAGGCTACATAGAGAGGTTGTGGAACCTTTCCATCCTTGGAAATTTTTAAAAGCTGATTAGACAGATTCTTGACTACGGTGGTTTAATCTGGGGTGGCACTGCCTTGAGCAGGGGGTTGGACTAAATCAGAGAATCATAGAAAACTAGGGTCAGAAGGGACTTCAGGAGGTCATCTAGTTCAACCCCCTGCTCAAAGCAGGATCATTCCAGCTATATCATCCCAGCCAAGGCTTTGTCTAGCCAGGTCTTAAAAACTTCCGAGGATAGAGATTCCACGACCTCTCTGGGTAACCTGTTCCAGTGTTTTACTACGATCCTAGTGAGAGAGTTTTTCTTAATATCTAACCTAAACTTCCCTTGCTGCAACTTGAGACCATTGCTCATTGTTTTCTCATCTGTCACTACTAAGAACAGTTTAGCTCCATCCTCTTTGGAACCTCCCTTCAGGTAGTTGAAGGCTGCTATTACCCCTCTGGGTTCTCTTCTCTAGACAAAATAAGCCCAGTTCTCTCAGTCTGTTCTTAGAAGTCATGTGCCCCAGCCCCCTAGCCATTTTCATTGACCCCTGCTGGACTCTCTCCAATATGTCCACATCCTTTTTGCAGTGGAGGCGCCCAAAACTGGACACTATACTCCAGATGCGGTCTCACCGGTGCCGAATAGAGGGGAATAATCACTTCCCTTGTTCTGCTGTCAAAGTTTGTACTATTGGAAGCCAGTATGTCATTAGCCTTCTTGGGAACAAGGGCTCACTGTTGGCTCCATTTCAGCTTATTGTCCACTGTAACCCCCAGGTCCTTTCCTGAAGAGCTGCTACTGCTTAGCCAGTCGGTCCACAGCCTGTTTTGGTACATAGGATTGTTTTGTCCTAAGTGCAGGACTTTGCACTTGTCCTTATTGAACCTCATGAGATTTCATTTGGTGCAATCCTCCAATTTGTTTAGATCTCTCTGAATGTTGGCCCTACCCTCCAGGGTATCTACTACTCCCCACAACTTGGTGTCAAATGCAAACTTGCTGATGGTGCACTCCATCCCATCTTTCAGGTTCTTGATGAAGATATTGAACAAAACCAACTCCAGAACTGTCCCTTGGGGCACTCATTTGGTACCAGCTGCAAGCTAGACATTGAGTCATTAATTATTACCCTTTGAACCAGTTTTCTATTCACCATACAGTCCATTCATCCAACCCATACTTTCTTAGCTTGCTTGGGAGACCATATCAAAAACCTCACTGAAGTCAAGGTTTGTCACATCCACAGGTCTCCCCACATACACAGAACCAGTCACCTCATCGTAGAAGGCAATCAGGTTAGTCAGGCATGACTTTTTGTTGGTGAATCCAAGCTGACTGTTCCTCATCACCTTCTCATACTCCAAGTGCTTAGAGATGGATTCCTTGTGGACCTGATCCATGATTTTTTCCAGGGATTGAGGTACGGCTGACTAGTCTGTAGTTCCCTGGATCTTCCTTCTTCACTTCTTAAAAATGGACACCATATTTGCACTTTTCCAATTGTCCGGGACCTCTCATGACCTCCGTGAATTTTCAAAGGTAATGGCCAGTGGCTCTGCAGTTTGGCCAGTTCCTCCAGCACCCTCATGTACATTGCATCCGGCCCTGTGGACTTGTACCCATCCAGCTTTTCTAAATGGTCCATAACCTGTTCTTTCACTACTGTTGGCTGCTCACCTTCTCCCAAACTGTGCTGTCAGATGCGGTAGTCTGGGAGCTGACCTGGCCTTTATAGACTGAGGGGAAAAAGGTATTGAGTACTTTAGCCTCATCTGTCAGTAGGTTGCCTCCCCCATTCAGTAACGGACCCACCCTTTCCCTGATCTTCCTCTTGTTGCTGACATACTTGTAGAAACCTTTCTTGTTACCCTTCACATCCCTTGCTAGCTGCAACTCCAATTGTATTTTGGCCTTCCTGATTTCATCCTCCTGGTCTGGTTGTCTCACAGACTGCCATCACAACATCACCCTTGTTGCTCTTTCTTCTGACCCTAACCCAGAGATTTTCAACAGCCCTATCTCCAGTTTCATACTGGAGCTCTGAGCAGTCATACAGTTCTCTTACATAAAGCACAACTCCTCCTTCTCTTCCCCTCCGCCTGTCCTTCCTGAACAGTTTATACCCATCCATGATAGTGCTCCAGTCATGCGAGCTATCCCACCAAGTCTCTGTTATTCCAATCACGTGATAGTTCTGTGACTGCAAGAACTTGCAATTCTCCCTGCAGTTTCCCAGGGTCCGTGCATTTGTGTACAGACACCTGAGGTAACTAGCCAATTCCCCTACTTTCTTAGGAAGAATGAGAAGGCCTCTCCTGTTGCCCACTCCTATTTGTGCTTTCTCCAGGTCTCCCAATTCCCCACTTACTTCAGGGTTTTGGTCTCCATACCCCAGTGAACCTAATTTAAGGCCCTCTTCACCAGGTTAGCAACCCTGTCTGTGAAGATGCTCTTCCTTCTCTTCATCAGGTGGATCCCAAGGTCATTCCAAGGTCTCTTCCAGTCCTACTTTCCTATGATTCTGTGTTAATTGCTGGCCTGGATTTTTGTGCCTCTTCAGAATGGGTTTTCTGCTGCACTCCCATACACCTGTGGGTTTCAAATAGACAAGCTGATGCATGAATGTAAGGAATATGCTTGTGATTAAATTAGTCCTTTTGTTCCTCTCTGTCATAGAATCCAGGAGTCCCGGGTCTAACAGCTCAGAAAAGAAGTGGACTTTTCCAGAAACCTGTGTCCCAGTTTTACGGGCATCTTATTCAGGGGTCATGGGAGAAGGGTGGGGAGTGGGGAAAGAAGGAGGGTTGAATCTACTTCCAGTCCCAGAAGGATGTTTCTGTTGAAATGATTGGTGTATATATAGTCAGAGTTACTAAGGCAGACATACAAATTGCCCTATTTGGAATTTAGAGTTAACTCCCATTTCAGCTGTAGTTTCCCAGGAGGGGCAGTACTGAAGCACAGTGACATGACTTTCCTAAACTCTGTGGCAGAGAAATATAATTTGAAAAAGGAAATTATGCTGAAAGTATGTAGAAATGGAAAGGACTGTCACAGGTGGGCAGATCAGATGAGTTCAGCTAGTACTGGCCCCATCCAAGCCCTGCTTCACATTGAGCCATACTGGCAGCTTCCTTTCTATATCCAGTGTCCAGTGTGTGTGGCCTCGATCCTCTTGTGTATTACAATGGCTCGCTGGCTGTTACGGAGACTGGGTCAGAATGCCTGAAATGGGCAGAGTTCCCCGATTATGTCCAGCAGTATCCAGACCGGGGCTTAGGGGACCACAACTACTGTAGGAATCCAGATGGGGGGACTACACCCTGGTGCTTCTACCGGCTTCCCTCTGGAGGAATCGACTGGGCCAACTGTGACTGTAATCAGGGTAAGGACATTTCAGCATTTCTCTTGAGGTCTGGGTGCACCATCCAGGGTTGGGGTGGAGAGAGGTGTGTGTATGCGCAAGCTTGTGATGTGTGTTCCATAGAAATGCAAACAGCATGGGCCCAGGACTGAATGAGATGAAGGCAGCATGATGACTCACCAGAATATGATTCCCATTTAGGCCACTAAGGACTTGTCTGAGAGAAAAAAGAATGGCGGCATAAGATAAAGCAAGATTTTAAACCAGGGTAGTTATACTAGTATACCCTCCCATGTGGCCACTCTTATTCTGGTACAAAGGGGGCTTTTCCTGGTTTAGCTTATGTTGCTTTGGAAACAGGTTAGGCTCACTTTTAAAGAAGTCTGAAGTCTTATTCCTGAAGACAAGTGTCTGCAAAGGGAGTTTTACCTGTATAAGTATAGCCATTTAACTAGCCTGGTATAATGAGACCTGTGTTAGCAGAGGAATCGCCCCTGTGGACAAGCATATATAAAAGAACTCAGCATATTTTACTCTGAGCAGGCTTGAAAATCTGTCTGTTAGCTAACAAAGTGTGTTACATAGCATAGATGTTTTTAGAATCTGGCCCTTACTCCAGTGCCTAAGTGGAAGCAGAGGTCCTTAGAATCTGACCCCATTTTGGGGGATGCACCCTTAAAAATCAGACACCCTTTCCCCGGTTTCCACAGTTGCACTGCAGAACAGTTTCCATTCTATTATGGAACTGTATTGCAACATGCTTTAAAAATACCATTTTAACACAGCTGCCCAATGTGCAGGCCTCCTGGTACAGATGTTTTCAGATGGGGCTTCCTTTAAGATTGACCCCTTGTGCCTTCCCCTCCCTCATTTTATTACATGTCTATTCATGAAAGCCACATCTGTTAGAGTTAGCATCCAGCCCAGAGCAGCTGTGTGACTCTAGCCCAGTGCTCAAATGGATGGGATGGAGGTAGGACCTTCCCAGTCCATAACTTGGAGTGGGAAGATTGGCTTTGGAATCAATAGCAGGGATCTACTCTACAGCATCGATGTGAAGGGAGTTAGTTTTGGCCTCGTCTCTTTTCTGCTGCAGTTACACTGTTGTTGAACTATTTCTGCCCCTGCTGGTGGTGCCAGTGGCCCCTCGTGGGTGAGGCAGTCTGCAATGGCTATTCCAAGGTCCTGACTAGCTCCGCTTTCAAGTGCGATTTCCAGCGGTTGAGGATACTTAGGGCCCTTTTTATGTGTAGAACACAAAACCTGGAACAAAGGTGGAAACATAGACTTATCCCTGTCTCACAGAGGGCACAGAGCTGAAGGCAGAACCCAGGCTTTCTGGCCCCCAGAACCCTGCTCTGTCCATTATACCAGCAGTTCCCAAACTTTTTAGACCAACAGGCTGCTGCCAAATATCAACATTTCTCATGGACCTCTGTGAACCTTGACCATCAAACTTTTAATTGAAAAGTGAGGGGGGCAGTGCTGTGACCCACTTTCCTCAGCCTTGTGGACCAGTTTGGGAGCTGCTGCATTAAACAACTCTCACTTTCCAAAGAAAACAGCAAAAGGCTGCTTCTCCTACAAACAGCCAGGACTGATGTGTGGGTAACATGAAATGTGGGACTTCTTCATAGAGCAGTCACACACAATGGTTGCAGCCAAACAAGGAGGAACGAGGCTGAGTCCAGCCCACCCAGGGCCCATGACAATAAGGTGTCTTTACACCTTACTGTCTCCACACACGTCCTTAGAAGTCTGTTTGACTGGCATTGGTGCAGCACTCAGATTCATCTCTGTTACAGACCCCCTTAGTTTAATTAAAGAGTTTGATGGCCTCTCTCTTTTGGAAGGTGCTGTGCGGCTGGCAGAAGGTGGAAGGGTGGAGTTCTACTTTAGTGGGCTGTGGGGCACCATCTGCGCTGATCATTGGACAGACTGGGATGCCAGTGTGATCTGCCGGCAGCTGGGACTCAGGTGGGAATGCTGGAGTCTGAGGGCAGGGATTTCCTGCAAATGGGACCTGGGCAAGCATGGCCTCTGCCTGCTCAGAGACTTGATCCCTGTGATAGAGTGGGGATGAGTTTCTCTCTCTAGCCTGAGTTTGCTATTTTGCAGTCTGTTAGCAGTGCTGTACCCTGCTGTTTCCCTTCTATTGCCACTACCTATGTCCTATCCTTTGGTACTTGCAAGAATGGCTTTGGCTATTAAACTTAATGACCTTCAGGTGATTATATCCCAGCCCAAGTAGGCAGAAGATAGAGTCCACATAGAAGGATGGGCTTTGCTAATTCACACTGGCAACTTGGGACCCTTATAAAGGTCCATCTGTCAAACTCCCAACCCATCTTTTGCTACAGACAGAAGCAAGGGTGAAAAACGTACTGGACCCACCCCCACTGCTGTAACAGGCAAGAAACTGCTCACTCTTCCTCCTAAAGCAGGGGGTGTCCAACCTTTTTGAATGTGGGGCCGGATCATGAACTTTTTATCACCCAGTGGGCCGGAGAGCCATATTCAAAGACGTCACAGGAAGTGGTATCATATCAGGAAGTGATATCACGTGACCTTTGACACCAATGAAGTTGCAGATGTTGACATGGTGCTGGTTGACATGGCATGCATGCCCGGGTTGACAGGGTGCTGCAGGACCCTTCTGGGCAGAACCAGGTCGGCACCGGCCAGGAAAAGCAGCATGCAGCTGAAGCTGGCTTCCCATGTGCTACTGGGGACGGGAGGAGCCCGCGCGGGTGACCGGTGCCATGCCCGGGTTGACAGGGTGCTGCAGGACCCTTCTGGGCAGAACCAGGTCGGCACCGGCCAGGAAAAGCAGCATGCAGCTGAAGCTGGCTTCCCATGTGCTACTGGGGACGGGAGGAGGCCGGCCGGGTCTGCACTGGCCAGCAGAAGCGATGGCGGAGCCATGTGCCACTCGGGACTGACTGGTGCAGGCTCGTCCCATCCCAAGCAGCACACGGCTCCGCCGCCGCTTCTGCTGGCCGGGGCAGACCCAGCCGGGCTCCTCCCATCCCCAGCAAACCATGCGAAGCATCCC